TAAAAAAGAATAAAAAAAAGAAGAAAAAAGAAGAAGAATAAAAAAGAATAAAAAAAGAAGAATAAAAAAGAAGAAGAATAAAAAAAGAAGAAAAAAGAAGAAAAAAGAAAAAAGAAGAAGAAGAAGAAAAAAGAAGAAGAAGAAGAAAAAAGAAGAAGAAAAAGAAAAATAAAAAAAGAATAAAAAAAGAAGAAAAAAAGAAGAAGAAAAAAAAAAGAAGAAGAAGAAAAAGAAGAAGAAGAAAAAAGAAGAAAAAAGAAAAAGAAGAAGAAAAAAGAAGAAGAAAAAAGAAGAAGAAAAAAAGAAGAAGAAGAAAAAAGAAGAAGAAGAAGAAAAAGAAGAAGAATAAAAAAAGAAGAAAAAAGAAGAAGAATAATAAAAAGAAGAAGAAGAAGAATAAAAATGAATAAAAAAGAAGAAGAATAATAAAAAGAAGAAAAAAGAAGAGGAAAAGTATGAAGAAGAAAAAGAAGAAATAATAATAATAACAAAACAAAAACAAAACAAAAAAAAAAACAATAACAACAACAACACAAGTTGACTCTGGCGTATCTCCAGAAATCTGACTGCCACATAAAACGCCTTGGTGATAGCGGGCATCAATGGAAGTGTGCAGGGAGCAAAGCTAAATGTAACAGCACATGAAATAAGTTAAGTGTTGTGCCTCAAAGCTGCGGGTAGAAGCTGAGATATGACCATCATCATCACCCGGCCGAAACATGTAAAAGCTGAAGTGATTACTATTATTATTATAACAACAACAACAATAAATACCCTCATGTTACGGCAGGCATGAATCCCGTAGCTTTTAATCTTATTTGATTAGGTGTGAACATGTTTTATCTCTGCGAATTAAAATGGACTATTAGTAAATAAACCCCATTAGGTATCACAGATATGCTGGTCAGTTGCACAATTTAACCGGTTGGGCTTCTCCCCTATTGTGAATTCCTGTTCATGAAGGGGAATAATTGGGGATCATTATGTCTGTGTACCGAGAAGGTTGTTTTGTTTTATTTTTTTTAAGTTTGAATGGTGAAATATCCAGGACTGACGTCTCGATACTTGGGAACACTTACGATTGAGGACAATCTTATGACAGGGCCTCGCCTGCAAAGTTGATATTATCATAACCTCTCACCATATAACATATATTGGCTATGATGCATGTACTCGATATACACTTATTATACTGGACTTCATATAGTTGTATCCCAAGCATCAATAGGCCTCTACTCCCTCAAATAATGAAATTTTAATGAATAGGACAAATACCAAATGTCACATTTCTTCAAATGCTGAGGAAACATTTAGTCCTCTGGTTGAGCGTTCTAACATAGCCGCAAATGAACTTCAATATTAATATGATAAGGTTAGGCAATACTTACGCTTGCCAACATTATAACCTTCACCATACTGAAAAAATGTTATGAACATGACCTCTCAGCAGTGCTAGAAGGTAAAAAATATTACAGTGTTCGCAACTACTATTCCGATAATAACAGGAGCACTGGGAATGATTACAAAAAATACACTAAGTTTCTGGCTTGTGGCAATCCCAACATATGACGATTCGTGTTTACGACTCAATCTCCATTAACCTTGTTTCGACTTACGCCGTTTGCTGTACATACAACGCAAAGAGCGCGACTGGGAAATAAATGGCGCGGCGAAAGAATACGTTGTCATATGAGGCTAGATAGAGAAAGGCAATGCTTGTCGATTTGTAGGAACAGAACAGTGTCCTAAGTCGAGGACCCCTGTATACATATATTAAGAAATTTTCAGGAAACACCTTACGATCTGAAATACAAAAATGTTCGTGGACACTACTCACACACTTTGATAAAATTCAACCTATTTATGTCAAACCGGACATTGGTCAACACCAGGGCAAAATTGGCGATATTCTCTGACCTTCTCTACCATCCTTGTACCATTCCTTGTAAGATATTATATTCAATAATCTCAAAATCAACAAATCAGGAAAACTGGTGATAATAACAGTAACATCAAAAGTAATAATAATAATTTAAAAAATATAAACTATGTATCCGCGGGAATATATTGAACAGCAAAGTAAGAACACTCTAATCCTGTGGATTGAATAAGAGATTGAGTTCAAAAATTTACAGACAGTTATCAAATATAATTGACAACTGAAGAAGGTCTCAAATGAGAATAGCAGAAGCCTTGTGACTATAACCATCAAAACAACTCAGATTTAAATAAATTTAAGTATAATAAACCTGCACAGATCAATATGTATTATATACTGGGAACAGTACGTTTTTATACCACCTTTTTATTAATGATTCAAGAGGAAATAAACATTTATATAGACACCTCCAAAATTTTCTAAAAAAGATATATGATGTAAAAATGGTCCAGACTTAATAAAAACAAAATGTCATCGTTAAAAGTTTTTGCATTATTATTAAGAGGAAAGATCAAAGTAATTTTTTATGTAAAAGTTATTTTATCTTATCGTCCATGAAACCTTAGAAATTCTAGGTTTTTTTTTTGGGGGGGGGGCGTCAACAATGTTTTACAAAAGGTGAACGTCTTTTTACGATGAAAAAAATTGCTTTGGAAATTCTTACAAAAATCAAATAATTGTCGGATTTTAATGAATTTTTCAAGATTTTGTTCATAAATAAATTATTTTTTTTTAAATATTTCTTTAGAAAATCTCTGTAAAAAAAATTTTTTTTACACCTGTTACACACCCTACTTATTTAATTCATAAAATGTCGAGAAATTCTTTTTTCTATCGTTTAATGTTTATAAACAGGACCCCCAATCACAGAAATTCTGCCATGAATTGTAAAATTAAAAAATGCAATAAAACTAAGACATATTTTAATTAAAAAAGCTTTTAATTGCTTTTATGGATAAAATATATTATGGACTCTATAGCCTTAAGAATTTTTTTTTAATGTCCTAGTTTGATTGCATTTTTTATTTTATGGGTCCTATTTGACTAAAAAGATTTCAAGACTTAAATTCTCCGAGGATTTGTCCTTATAACTAATATAAATAATTAAGTGCTACAAACAGAATTTCTTGGAATTTAATAATATTAAAAAAGTGTGTATGGGGGGTAACATGTGTAAAAGAAAATTATAAAGATTTTCTTAAAAAAAAAAAAAAAAAGAAACATTTCAAAAATAATTTCTTTCATTTGTGAATAAGTCCTGAATTTTCATTAAAATCCAACAATTACCTGATTTTTGCAAAAAATTCCAAATCAGTGTTTTTGTGAAAGACGAAATTTCACATACTAATTTATTGTACAACGTCGACACCGGAGAAACGATATATTTAACCAAACTTCCGAACGTTATAAAAAGAATTAAAAAATCTAATTTAATAATTAAAATATTCTTTAATCTTTACTCTTAATAATAACAAAGAGTTTGACAATAATTTTTTTTTTTTTTATTAAGTTTGGGGCATTTTTTATCATGTATTCTCATTTATAGCGAATCTTTGAAGGTACCTGATTTTATGAATTTATTTATATTACACTATTGGGATATACCTATATTTACTTGCCTTGAAGACAGAGTTAAGTAATAGCATATTAGGATATAGTAAGCATTCTGAACAAATCTTCTAAGTTGAGAAGACATTTATGCATTGAGAACATGCACGCAAGTTTTAATCTACATTTAAACTCTTACAACGCAGGCGTCCTGGGTATGACGATAAACTACACCGGAAGCCAGGCCTCTGATCAAGACATTGGAGGTTTTGAAGGGCGTGGAACCACCTCTTAATTGCTGTTGTTTCAAGTCTAATCTGACCTGTGTGGTAGCACCTGTTTGGGTCCCAGCCATGGGCAAATAGTGAACCCTCAAACAAAAGTCAACAGTATATTCTTATTGCAAAAGGACCAATAGTACATTTTTATAGCAAAATGACAATATAACAGTAAAAATATATTTTCAGTAAAATTACGAACAATGATCTACAAAATATATATCTAAAAACATAACCTTACTCTGAAAGTATAAATTTATAAACAAAATGTATTTGAAAGCATAAAATTACATAAAGAATATTTAGATTTCGGCATTAAATAATCTATAGAAGTTGATAAGCCACTAAACAAAATCAAACAACCAACATGAGAAATCTCATGACATTAGTCCATATAATGCCCTACAATTTCTAAAGAAATAAAACTATTCCAAAATATAACTTCAAAAAAACTACAACATAAAACACAGATATCACCGCCTCTAGAAATTATGTCCGCACAAACATGTATATGCACAAAAGCTGAGTATCATCTACCATGTATGCTATTGTGAAAGCAGAAGAACATGATATTTTTATTACTTCGAAAGCTCCCAAGAAAATTAAATTTCGGCTTCAATTAACCAATAAGGAGTTGATATGTCGTTAAAGAAACAAAACGAACGAAAATACGCAAATAACACGAAGCAGTTCAAATAACGTAAATATATATATATATATATATATATATATATATATAGCTTTTTCACATATTTGTAATTATTTTTTCAGATTACATTGGAAAATATCTAAAACTAATTTAAATTCTAATTTTTAAAGATAATATATTTACTTTTCCATTCATATTGAGAGATAAAGTAGGAAACTAATAAAAGATTTGATGACAAACATTTCCCTCTTTTTTTTACCTGATCTCATATTTGTTGTAGACGTCAAATAAATAAAAAATCATTTCATTCGAATGTTGAAGACGATTCACTTTTTATTTAAATTGACTTTGAAAAAATATTCAATTGAATCATCTTTGGAATCATTCGAATGAAATTATTTTGATTTATTTGACGTCTAGAAAAAATATGAAATCAGGTAAAAAAAAAAAAAAAAGAAAAGAAAAAAAGAAATAAAGAACCCTCCCACTTCATATAATGATAATAATCTAGCAGTCAGACATTCTCTGACAATATTCAGCACTTTAAGAACCCTGACTTTAAACTCATCCACTTAACTCCCGTGTAATGAGCGCCTCTTGTCTTACCAAAACCTTCAAAGCGAAAGAACGTCTCTATCAAAATGTCCCACAAAATTTTCATTTTGACCTTTTATGCCTTGGAGATTTTTTTTTTCTTTACCTCAAACGTCGCCAAGTTGCAAATCCACCACCACCACCCGCTATTCTTCGCCTTACACTTTACAGGCAACACGAACCACTCTTTCCACTAACAGTGAACCGCCAACTACCACAATCACCATATCCACCCCGACCTTATTTAGTGCACCACCTTGATGGTCTCCGCCACCACCCTAATCCGGTCCTTCGTTTTTCTAATGTGCCAACATCTAAATCGCTTTGACCTTTCCTCGAGAACTGTCGTTTCTTCCTTTCGTCGTCTCTATGTCCTTTGAGTTGGCCAAGATCAAATTTCATGCCAAATTTACAAGGTTCTCTCTCAGGAGACCCTTGGCGAAAACCACCTACACTCTCCTCGTTTACTGGGTTTTATATCTGAGGCGGTAACTTGTAACATTTTCTGTTACAGTTTTCTTTTTTTCTTTTCGTTTCTTCCCTCTTTCCACCTGACATGAACCTCTTTCGACTTCTCCTTCTTTTAAGTTAGAACTTTCTTTCGTTTCTTACTCTTTTTGCTCACAACTCCATATTTAAATCTTTACTTAATCCTTCCCGAATTCTTTCTTTACTATTTTGTCATTTTTTTTTCGTTCGCTTTCTTCCTTGTGATGATTTGTCTGTATTTTTTTTCTTTTCAGGTACTGGTCTTTACTGTCTTATCTTCTATGTGCCATATTACTTCAGGGCATTGGCGATTATCGTTCTCCACCATTTCCTGTCATTTGTAGATCTTAATATCTTTTGTCCTTTTGCCATCTCTCCCAAACCCTGCTTCACCATCCATTCACCCACGCTCACCAGGTAGATTGTGCGTTGCTTTCCTCTGTCTTTCTTACTTTCAATCTGTACTGTGAGTATCAAATTTTCCAATCCCTGTTATCTCATGTACCCCAGAAAATTAAACTATCTCTTCTTGACGTTAAGTATAAGTGTCCTTTTTGTTGCTATTGTCTCTAGAACTTATTCGTTGCTCAGTTTTTTTTTCTCTCGAGTCATCATTTTATTCGAAATTGTTCTTCCATTCTTTTTTTGTGCCAATCGCTTTTTCTTTAGACAATTCTTCCTTCCATCCCTCCATAACGGTACTATCGGGTGCCAAAAAAAAAAAAAAAATGGGGTGGACGAAAAAATTGGAAAAGGTAATAAATGGTAGACGTAATAAATGTGGATGATGAAAAAAAACTTTCAAATTCGATTTTGTATAAAGCAAAAAAATGATCTACTCCATCAGACTACCCTTAATTTTCTTTTGGCTGTTAAAAAGGAGTGGTTGGAAAAATTCTGAAATATAAATCTAGATGTCGCAATAAATGGGTATTGAAAAAAAAATCATAAACGGTGTGGTACAAACGATGGCGATGGAAAAATGAGAAAATCAAATAAACGGGGAGAGGGTTCAATAAAAGAGGTGTTTGGAAAAGTATTAATTCCAAATCTTTCAAAATATATCAAAAACTTCAAGCTAGAAATAAATGTTCATCAATGGCTTTAAGTAAAATGCGTTAAGTAAATCGAGAATATTTCCATTAAGATTTACCAATGTTTTTTTCTTAACAGTGAGGTTCACTCAATACAAGGCCGGAGGACCACTCGAAGTAGAGGGTTACAAAATAAGAAGCATATTTTATGTGGATAGGTGGGGAAGATAGCGGTTAACCCTAGACTTGAACTGGTTAACATTGTAGCAACCGGAGAAGCATCCTCTTTTGAGTCGGTTCCCGGGAAGAAGCTGCTCGATTAGAACTTCTCACCAAAGGAATACGGAAGGCATGAGAGTGGTTTGCTACAATGTGAGTGGCATAGCGGGTCCTAGCCGTGAAGATTCGAACTGACACAACCAAAGAATTTGGTTCGTCTGAGCACTTTTCATAGAAGTAGCGATAGTGCAGTGAGAGACACGCCACATTCCGTCTGTGAGAGAATAAGTCCGCGGAGACGCTTTTGAACTCTTTCGAAACTGAAAAGTGAGGACTGGGTAGTTCCTGTTCAAATATGACAGCAGTACTCCATGATATGACTCTTGTAAAGGTAGGAGATAGCACGAGGATTAGGGTACATACTGGAGCAGTACAGGGAGCCGACCATTTTTTTTATATTCTTAACGGTGGATCGTATGTACGACATCCAATTGTGATCTAGATTGAGCTTATATTCCATTAGGTACTCGAGGCACCGGGCCTCCCCGAGGGACCATCTGTTCAGTATGACTAGTGGTAGTTTGGGGTGCGATTGACGATGATGGAATGTAACTAGTTTCGTTTTCCGGGGATTGAATATAGCCATCCAGTTTCCCCACCCCCACTGAGATCGGATGATAGATCAGTTGTCCATCTCTGGTCATTACTAGTTTTGGAGGTGCACCAATTAAAATATAATTAAATATTAATGAGAGGAAAGGGTTCCTAATCCTCTCGTGGTGGTGCGAGAACCGCGGAATCTCTGGGAAGACGGCTTCCAAGACCGAATCCAACGGTCAGGGCGGAGGGTTCGTGACGTGCAGGTCTGCTTTCCTAACCGTGAATTAATACCTCTTCGGCGTTCACCCTCGATATAGGGAGGGAACTGGGCAGGTTCTCATCTTCACAGCTACCCTACGACCACACTCGGTCAGAGGAGTGAAGATGACTAATATAGTTCAGTAAAGCTTACGCCCTGACGTCTGCGGCATTAGCTGAGAGAAGCGTGAAATTTCTGACAAATTAAATAATGACCAGGAGTCATTACTCGTTGGCGAATAAATTTTATTTCATTTTTTTAATAAATATTTCTAATAGTAATTTTTTAATAAATATATTTTATTAAATATTTCTAAGAGTAATTTTCTTTTTAAAAAGGGGCGGGAAAATAAATAACTGGCTGGAAATTTCTGAAATATAAATCTGGATGTCGCAATAAATGGGTATTGAAAAAAAAATCATAAACGGTGTGATACAAACGATGGCGATGAAAAAATGAGAAAATCTAATAAACGGGGAGAGGGTTCAATAAAAGAGGTGTTTGGAAAAGTATTAAACCCAAATCTTTCAAAGTATATCAAAAACTTCTTTTATACTGACATAAAAGTTAATGATCAAATATGGATCGGAATCCGACAGGATGATAAAATAAAAGAACAAATAGGAAACGTATATCAATCTAACGTATTTCACTTTTATTAAAACTTCTTCAGAAACTGAGAGAAAACAGACAAAAAGACGGAAACACTGGTATTTTAAAATTTGTTTGGGGCAGTTCTCATTGGTCAGACACGTGTTACGTACATTAAAACCGTAGATAATTCTATGTGTATGTAAGTTTGTGAAGATTCTTGTATGTCTATCCGATGCCCACTTAGACACACACACATTATATATATATATATATATATATATATATATATATATATATATATATATATATATCGACAGTCTGTTTCATGCTATATGCAATCGTGCCTGACGATTGCATATATGAAACAGACTGTCGCCTCTAAGTGTTGACTTCTATGTTCACTTTTTATATTTACACACGCTCTATCTCTGATATTGAGCACTTTATCCCATAAATATAGCACACCTTAAGACTATATATATATATATATATATATATATATATATATATATATATATATATATATATATATAATGAAAAATAAAAAATATGGAAAAATTCGCCTTTTTCCATGCTGGGCGTCGATAGACTAGGGGTTAGAATCTCTAACTGATGCCAAATCGGTCGGGTTTCTATCCCAGCTTGAAGTGATTGGATGTCTAGCCACACTGAGGATCTGGGAAACAGCGAAACATTCTGTATGTGGATGATTATATATATATATATATATATATATATATATATATATATTCACTAGTTCCCTCTGTTTTCATCTCCACTCCATTTTAATTCTAAATATACGATATAGTTTTATTTTTCATTCCTCGCTTCCATTACTTTTCCAAAATTAATTTTTCACTCTTTTTTCCCTTGTCTTACCTACTAGTCTGAATATATATTTCTCGCCATTTCAACCTATTTCAACCTCTTACATAACTGGCTCAAAAACAAACTAGTGTTAAGATGAGAAAAAACAAAAAGAAAATGGTTGTGTTGAGAATCCAATTCATCCACCTGTCATCTTAACTGTTATCCCCAACCTAATACAACTTGTTATAGACATAACCATGGTAACAAATGAAAACCCTCTACTCACACCGACTCCTTCGCCATTTCCGTTATTAAAAACTCAAACAAAATTACCACCGACAAATGTGACACCATAATGCATAGGGTTGGTAAACAATGGCTCCGGAGACCCATACGGCTCTTAAGCCAATCTCAAGTGGGCTTTGTTTTTGTTTTGTTGTTTTTTGTTTTTGTTGTTGTTTTTTTATTGTTGTTGTTCTTATTCTTATTATTCTTATACTGTTCGTCTCTCCTTTAGTTAGCACATATGTACGCTATGTCCTGCTAATACCTCATAAATAATTAACTATTCCGTTTTGATCGGGCATAAAGACGGACAAGACATCCGAGAGGCTACTTGGTTTCAGTAAGAAAAAAAAAAAAACGAAAGAAAAGGAAAATAGAAAATGTGATAACACTCTCAAACGTGTTTCAGTGAATTTGAAATCTTTTCATTGTTACAGTTGCTAAGCACAAATATTTAACGGTACGAGACGGGAATTTCTGTTGTCGTAGAACTGGCCATGAGCTTATTCAATCAAAAAAAAAAATTAAGATTCATCAAAAATTCAAATAGAAAACAATGAAATTTAACGAGTATTTCTAGTTATTATCATTAATATTGCAGTAGAAGAAAAAAAAAAGGAAGGAAAAGAAGAAAAGAGGAAAAAAGAAAAAAGTAGAAGCAGCAGATATTGATTACATCCAACGGATATTGAAAAGAAGCTT